AAAAAAAAAAAGAATTTAGAATGTTAACCATAGGAGAAGTTAGAGGCCTTTTATTGCCAAGGAACTATTTAATAATATATTCTATTTGAATTTATTATTTTATTACTGAGGTGTCCATTTTATTTTTGCTATTTACACTGACTAGTATTTCAGAGTACAAAATTATAAATTTTTACCACTTACATAGGAGGAATAACTTACAGTGTTCCATAGCACTGTGGAATGACTATAGTTAATAATACTATATTATGTAGTTTCAGATAGCTAGAAGAAGGATATTGAATGATCCCAATATAAAGAAACGATATATATTTGAGGTGATGAATATACTAATTATCCTGATCTGATTACCTGCATTATATGTATTGCAACATCACAAACCCATAAATATGTAGTTTTGTATCACTTTTCTTTTTTTTTGAGATGGAGTTTCACTCTTGTTGCCTAGGCTGCAGTGCAATGGCATGACCTTGGCTCACGGCAACCTCCACCTCCCAGGTTCAAGTGATTCTCTTGCCTCAGCCTCCGGAGTAGCTGGGATTATAGGCACGCGCCGCCATGTCCAGCTAATTTTGTATTTTTAATAGAGATGAGGTTTCTTCATGTTGGTCAGGCTGGTCTTGAACTCCTGACCTCAGGTGATCCTCCCACCTCAGCCTCCCACAGTGCTGGGATTACAGGCACGAGCCACTGCACCCAGCTTTGTGTCAATTTTAATGAAGAACAAGGCCAGACACAGTGGCTCTACTTAAAAAACAAAAATTAGCTGGGCATGGTGGTAGGCACCTGCAATCTCAGCGACTCTGGAGGCTGGGGCATGAGCACCTCCTGCACCCAGGACACGCAGGTTGCAGTGAGTCGATATCACCCCACAGCACTCCAGCCTAGGTGACAGCACAAGACTCTGTCTCGAAAACAACAATAATAATTAGCCAGGTGTGGTGGCACATGCCTGTAATCTCAGCTACTCAGGAGGCTGAGGCAAGAGAATTGCTTGAACCCAGGAGGCAGAGGTTGCAGTGAGCTGAGACCTCACCTCTGCTCTCCAGCCTGGGTGACAAGAGTGGAACTCCATCTCAAAAAAAAAACAAAAGAGAAAAGAAAAGAAAATAGGCCTGGCGAGGTGGCTCATGTCTGTAATCTCGGCACTCTGGGAGGTCAAGGCAGGCTAATAGCTTGAGTCCAGCAGTTTGAGACCAGCCTGGGCAACATAGTGAGGCCCCTATCTCTACAAAAAATAAACAAAATTAACCAGGCATAGTGGCATGCACCTCACCTGTGGTCCCAGATACTCAGGAGGCTGAAGTGGGAGGATCCCTTGAACCTGAGAGGTCAAGGCTGCAGTGAGCCAAGATCATACCGCTGCACTCCAGCCTAGGCAAGACCCTGCCCTCCAGCCTGGGCAAGACCTGTCAAAAGAAAAAAAAAAGAAAGAAAGAAAGAGAGAGAAAGAAAGAAAGAAAGAAAAGAAGAAAAGAAAATTAAACAACAGGAAAAGAAAAAGACAAAGAAAGAAAGAAAATCTGCCAGGAAAATGTTGAAGGAGAGGAAGAATGAGAGCACACAATCCTATCACAAGTCAAAGTAGCCAACGGCATTGAAATGAACATTGTGTGGCTTTGGCACTGATGGAGGAGGCAACTTAACAAATGGGAATTTAGTACATGACAAAGGTCACAGTTATTTTTTATTAATTGTTGCTTTTAAAGCCAGGGTCTTGCTCTGTTGCCCAGGCCTTGTCTTCCTGTGATCAAGCAAGTCTCCTACCTCAGCCTCTAAGTAGACTACAGGTGCACACAAACAAGCCTGACTAATTTTAGTTTATTTCTTGTAGAGACTGGGTCTCACTATGTTGCCCAGGCTGGTCTCGAACTCCTGAGCACAAGGGATCCTCCCACCATGCTCTCTTAAAGCCTTGGGATTACAGGCGTGAGCCACCACAGAACAAATTATTATTATTTTTTTTTTTGGAGACGGAGTTTCGCTCTTGTTACCCAGGCTGGAGTGCAATGGCGCGATCTCGGCTCACCGCAACCTCCGCCTCCTGGGTTCAAGCAATTCTCCTGCCTCAGCCTCCTGAGTAGCTGGGATTACAGGCACGCGCCACCATGCCCAGCTAATTTTTTTGTAGTTTTAGTAGAGACGGGGTTTCACCATGTTGACCAGGATGGTCTCGATCTTTTGACCTCGTGATCCACCCGCCTCGGCCTCCCAAAGTGCTGGGATTACAGGCTTGAGCCACCGCGCCCGGCCAGAACAAATTATTTTTAAAATAACAGTGTTAAAACAATTGTCTATGTGAAAAAAAACTGCAATATTTTCCTACGATCACACATCCTTAAAATTTATTTTATTGATTAAGGACCTAGATATAAAACAGTATTTTATAAAAGCACTGGAAGAACCCAAGGGAGTATATTTCTATACGTTTTATTTGGTAAAGGATTTACTAATTAGGACATTAAATACACAAGTTATAAAGAAAATAAACCGGCCAGATGCAGCAGCTCACACCTGTAATCTCAGGACTCTGGGAGGCTTGAGGCAGGTGGATCACTTGAGGTCAGGAGTTCCAGACCAGCCTGGCTAATATGGTGAAACCCCGTCTCTACTAAAAATACAAAAATTAGCCAGGCGTGGTGGCATGTACCTGTAGTCCTGGCTACTCAGGAGGCTGAGGCAGAAGAATCACTTGAACCTGGGAGGTGGGGGTTGCTGTGAGCCGAGATCGAACCATTGCACTCCAGCCTGGGCAACAACAGTGAAATTCCGTCTTCAAAAAAAAAAAGAAGGAAAGAAAGAAAAGAAACTGATAGATTTGGGCCATTTTAAAATTTAAACTTCTATATGAAAAGGCATAAACAAAGTTAAGCAAGTAATGCCAAGAAATGTTTTAACTAAAAGAAAAATGCAACAACCCAATGAAAGAAAAATGGACAAAGGACATGAGTCAACAATTTACATAATAAAAAACATGGGCTGGGTGCTCACACCGGTAATCCCAGCACTTTGGGAGGCTAAGGAGGGATGATTGCTTGAGCCCAGGAGGTCGAAGCTGCAGTGAGGCAGTCAAGGTCATGCCACTGCACTACAATCCAGACAACAGAGCAAGATCATGTCTCAAAATTTTTTTTTGAAAAAGAAAAATATGTGCCAGGGACAGTGGCTCATGCCTGTAATCCCAGCACTTTGGGAGCCTGAGGCAGGCGAATCACTTGAGATCAGGAATTCAAGACCAGCCTGGCCAGCACGGCGAAACCCTGTCTCTACTAAAAATACAAAAAATAACCAGGCATGGGGCGGGCACCTGTAATCCCAGCTACTCGGGGCCTGAGGCAGGAGAATTGCTTGAACCTGGGAGGCACAGGTTGCAGTGAGCCAAAACCGCATCAGTACTCCAACGTGGGCAACAGAGCAAGACACCATCTCAAAAAAAAGAGGAGAAAAATATAAATAAATGGTCAATAACAGATGCTTTCTCTCAATAGTTATCAGAGAAATGTAAAATAAAACAGAGAGCTATTTAAACTAATTAGATGAGCATAAATATTAAAAATTAATAGCATTCAGTACAGACTGATGCATATGTGTTGTATTTGACCGGAGCGTAGAAAGTTAGCACCAAGACAAAAGTATGCCAGATTGCAGGGTCATTTATTATGCCGGCGACCACAGAGGACTCATGTCTCTCCAACCTGTGGCGTCAAAGGGAGGGTGCCAAGACTTTTTATACCGGAAAAACCACCTTGGGAGTGGGGGTGAAGAGCGGGGATGGGGATGAAAATGTTTCGGACATTCCAAGGGCTAGGGGATTCTGTGATTCACCTCCTGGGCGGAGACAAGGGTGGGGGTCTCCGGACATTCCAAGGTCTAGGGGACTTTTGTCATTCTGTTTGTTACCTCAGTGGTTTACAGAAGTCAAGATATACATTTGTTTACACAAGTCAAGATATACATTTGTTTACACATTGTCTGGGTGGTGATAGAAGTCACAGATTTTAGCAGTTACTGATAAGAAAAGGTAAGCAGCTTTACATAGTTTTGCAGAACAAACTAGCAGTTCTATTTACAGCAGCCAAGAACAGTAGTTATTGTGAGGAGAATGGGGCAGCCATTGCAACTTATTTAAAAACAGTTTTGCATTTTATAAAAATAGCGTTGCTCAGGTTCTGGCTCCAGGCCAGCACAATATCACATATGTACATATGGAAAGAAGAGGAAGACCATACCCCCATTCAATTTTGGTAGAAAATTTTTATAGAATTTTTAGATGAACTCTCTGGAAACATCTATCAACATATACAGTATGCGTATACTTTATGATAACAATTACATTTCCAGAAAGCTATCCCATAGAAACATTCATACACGTATACATGTGTTTATAGAAGTGTTGTTTATCACGATGGAAAATAAAAACAATCGGCAGTGCATCCTGGGTCGGCGTAGCCATGGCGTCTCGTGTCCTTTCCCCCTGTGTGCGCCTCTGCCCCGGGTCTCCATGCTGCCGCCGCCCAGCCTTTCAGCACCGCTCTGTGCTCCGCGGGGACCCGGACGGGGCGCGGGCCTTCACAGCCGGCCTCGGCGCACGCGCAGGTTCCAGGCAGAGTTACACAGCTGTGCCGCCAGCATTGCGAAGCGCCCCCTTTGACATCAGAGGGCATCCAGGACCGTGTTCTTTACGTATTGAAACTCTGTGACAAGATGGACCCAGAGAAGCTTTCCGTAAACTCTCATTTTATGAAAGACCTGGGCTTCGACAGTTTGGACCAAGTGGAGATTATCATGGCCATGGAAGACGAATTTGGGTTTGAAATTCCTGATTTAGATGCGGAAAAGTTAACGTGTCCACAAGAAATTGCAGATTACATTGCAGATAAGAAGGATGTATATGAATAAAGTATCAGACCCTTTAGCTTTGTTGAGAGAGGACACAGATGATACTGATGAATGGCAGTGAGGACACAGCTCGGCATTATTGCTGGCTCTGACAGAGTAATTCAGAGGGAGTTGTATTTAAATTGTGTGAGTGTTTTTCTCTTTGAAAATGAATCTATAAAAAAAAAAAAAAAAAAAGAAAATGGAAACAATCTAAATATTCATCAAAAGGGAAACTTAAATAAACTATGGCACCTTTTAAAAACAGAATACTAAGTAGTGGTTTTACAAAAAATAGGAATTTCAGGCCGGGTGCGGTGGCTCATGCCTGTAATTCCAGCACTTTGGGAGGCCAAGGCGGGCGAATCACCTGAGGTCAGGAGTTTGAGACCAGCCTGGCCAACCTGGTGAAACCCTCTCTAAAAAAAAAAAAAAAAAATAGGAATTTCAATTCAGGATGGCAGACCAATCAGACATACCTACCTCCCACCTGATGAGGTCTCATGATACAGAATTTAGAGGCACAGGATTGAATAAATCCAAAATATTAGAGCAAGAATGAGGTGGTGATGCAGGAGGGAGTGGTGGCCAACAGATGAGAAATTTCAGTACACTTGCGGGAGACACATACCAGTGGTAAGCATGTTCACCTAATTACGAACGTTCTGTAAATGTGGTGAGCTCAAAGTGAGTTGGTAGGATGAAGGACAGAAGTCAGCATTGGGGTGAATGGGGAGAATTGACTGCTTGAGTTGGGTCCATTACTTACTCCCCATGCCCCCAATGGATAATTCAAGAGAACAAGAGATACATTTAAAAGTCTCTAACGTAAGGCCAGGCACAATGGCTCACTCAATCCCAGCACTTTGGGAGGCCGAGGCGGGTGGATCCCGAGGTCAGGAGTTCAAGACCAGCCTGACCAACATGGTGAAACCCCGTCTCTGCTAAAAACACAAAAATTAGCTGGGCATGGTGGCACACGCCTGTAATCCCAGCTACTCAGGTGGCTGAGGCAGGAGAATTGCCTGAACCTGGGAGGTAGAAGCTGCAGTCAGCCAAGATCGGAATATACACACACACATGCACACACACACATATATTTTTTTGAGACAGAGTCTCGCTCTGTCACCCAGGCTGAGTGCAGTGGCACGATCTTGGCTCACTGCAACCTCTGCCTCCAGGTTCAAGCGATTCTCCTGCCTCAGCCTCCCTAGTAGCTGGGACTAAAGGCACATGCCATCATGCCCGGCTAATTTTTGTATTTTTATTAGAGACTGGATTTCACTATATTGACCAGGCTGGTTTGAACTCCTGACCTCGTGATTCACCCGCCTCGGCCTCCCAAAGTGCTGGGATTACAGGTGTATGTATATATATACATATATATATATGTATATATATACTTTTTAACCACAAAACAAAGCCAGGAGAAATGGGGAGTTATTGTTTAATGGGTATAGGGTCTCATCTGTAGGGCATTAGAATGTGCTATCCCAGGACAGGTGAGGTAGCTCATGCCTGTAATCCCAGTACTTTGGGAGGTGGAAGCAGGCAGACTGCATGTCTGTAGTACCAGCTACTCTGGAGGCTGAGGTGGGAGAATCACCTAAGTCCAAGAGGTTGACACTGCCGTGTGCCATTATCATGCCACTGTACTCCAAACTGGGTGACAGAGCAAGACCTTTAAAAAAAAAGGTGTTATCCTAGGCCGGGTGCGGTGGCTCATACCTATAATCCCACTGCACTCCAGCCTGGGCAATAGAGTGAGACTCCATCTCAAAAAAAAAAAAAAAAAAAGTGTTAACCCAAAACATTTCTCTTTGACATAATTATTATTTTGAGCCAAAGACTCTAGTTGAGAAACAGCAGATGCCAAAAAAGCTCTCTGCCCTCCCCCTCATTTGCCTAAAAGCAGGCTTAGAGGCTTAATCACCTGAGGCTCTTTTTGGCCCTGAGACAGCACCCAAGGGGAATCTAGGTAACAAACCTTGCCAAAATAATGATCTTCCTTCCCAAGTTGCCCTGCATATCTTCACCTTCCCACGGACTGCTATCCAGAAAAGCTTAGACATCTTTTCCTTTGTCTCATCACTTCTCAACAAATGTATTGTTCTTTGTCAAGATGCAGTACAAGCTCACGTCTTTTTTTTTTTTTATAAGATGGGGTTTCACCATGATGGCCAGGCTGGTCTTGAACTCCTGACCTCAGGTGATCCACCCACCTCGGCCTCCCAAAGTGCTAGGATTGCAGGCATGAGCCACTGTGCCTGGCCACAAGCTCATGTCTAACCACTCCTCTGAGTTACTCCTCCCTAAGTGCTGCAGTGTGTTTGCACAGTGCACATGTTAACAAAATTCCGTTTGTTTTTCTTCCGTTTGTTAATCTTTTATCAGTTTAATTTCCAGGGCCCCAGCTGGTAAACCTGGAAGGGTAGGGAAGAAGCTTTTTTCCCTCCCCTACACAGTTCTGCAAGATGATAAAAGTTCTGTGGGTGGGGCGTAGTGGCTCACTTCTGTAATCCTAGCACTTTGAGTGGCTAAGGTAGGAGGACTGTTTGAGCTCAGGAGTTCAAGACCATCCTGAGCAACATAGCGAAACTCCATCTCTACAAAGAATACAAATATTAACCAGGTGTGGTGGTGAGCGCCTATAGTTCCAGCTACTTGGGGAACTGAGGCAGGAAAATCACTTCAGCCCAGGAGGTGGAGGTTGTAGCCCAGGGAATGGAACAAAACCCTGTCTCAAAAAAACAACAAAAAAAAACAAAGCGGGGGACATGGGGGGTACACACTGGGCTGTCCCCTGAGCTTCCCTTCTCCTCCTGTCTGTGGTGGCATGGCTGCAGCTCTGGCAGCCATCTTGGGACCAGAGGGAAGGCAGTCAGGAGACACTGAGACCTCGATTATGGCATCCAGCTGGGAAACTCCAAACACCACCAGTCCCTATTCTGCTTTTTCTTAAACACTTTGAGTTTGAGTCACTATTATTATCATTATTATTTTTTCTTTTGAGAGAGAGAGAAAGAGTTTCACTTCAGGCTGGAGTGCAGTGGTGCAATCTTGGCTCACTGCAACCTCCACCTCCAGAGTTCAAGCGATTCTCCTGCCTCAGCCTCCCTAGCAGCTGGGACTACAGGTGTGTGCCACCACGCCCGACTAATTTTTTGTACTTTTGGTAGAGATGGGGTTTCATTGTGTTAGCCAGGATGGTCTCGATCTCCTTACCTTGTGATCTGCCAGCCTCGGCCTCCCAAAGTGCTGGGATTATAGGCGTGAGCTACCGCGCCTGGCCAAGTCACTATTATTTTGTTCTTGCTGTTATATGCAGCCAAAGGCAATCCCTAACTGATGCATTCTTGTTATATCCTATTCCTGTTTCATGTGAACCAGTCCTGGCAGCACCTAGCAGAAACCTTTGCAGAGCAGCCTTTTTACAAAGACTTGTTGAGTGACAGAAATTGACTTGGGATTGTTATAACTTATGTCAAACTGAGAACAGCACCACCAAATGCACTGGTGCTCTGAAAACCTCTTAAAGGAAAGCAGAAGCCTTCCCCAGGGAGGAACATGAAGAACTAACAACTCTGCACCTTAAGGAAACTTCCATCAGTCTTGTCTAAGGAGGAAAGTAGATAGCTTATGTCCCGGCAGATGAGGTAATAAGACAGGCCCTCCACTGTGAATTTATGTGTTCCAGCCCCTTGAGAAGTAAACTGCCTGAAGCCAATCAACTTGTGGGTATTAGTGCCAAGGAGCAGGTGACAAATTGCCCCCTGCTCATTATAACAGAAGCCAGAATGCCTCAGCTCTCAGGAGGGAGGTGTTAACCCCTCATATCCTCTCCTGCAGTGGAGCACTTCATGAAAACTAAAGAATTGTTTCCCTTTATTCTTGGTAGTCAATAACAATCAGTTATTTGGGGAGAGATATTAGGCTTAAAAACAAACAAACAAACAAAAACACACAAAAAAAATCACTTATACCATGGACATGGGAGACAAAAGAATTCTTAGCCCTCCTCATTAAAAAGACTACTAAACCAGCCAGGTGCAGTGGCTCTGGCCTGTAATCCCAGCACTTTGGGAGGCTGAGGCGGGTGGATCACCTGAGGTCGGGAGTTCAAGACCAACCTGACCAACATGGAGAAACCCCATCTCTATAAAAATTTTTTTTTTAATTAAAAAAATAGAAAAAAGACCACTAAATTATAAATCACACAGGTCGTAGAAGCATAAAACAAATATTCAAGTTGCCTGTCCGGTTTCATTTTTGAGATCAGAAACTTGGGGCTGAAAAGCTAAATATTTGGCAACTAATTTGGGAACTTAAATTCATGCTTGGAAAGCTCTTAATGTCTAAAAGGAAAATAGATAATATTGATATTCTTCCCAAATAACTACACATTCACTATCATCGCACTCATGCCCACAAATGTGGATGCTTAACTGGATTTTGTTTTCTTTGTTCTAAACTGATCTGGTATTTATAGTTCTAATGATCTCTCCCTAATGAGGGCTGTGGTTTTAAGGGCCACTCCCCTTCCAACATCTACTATTACTTCCCTTCTTTTTCTCTTTTTCCTTGACAATTGGGCCCTTTCCTCCAGTCTCTAGGTCCAAAAGAAATCACATTCTAGTAAGAGGATCTAGTTAATGTAAAATTTTATACATTTTCTATGCTGGGTTTCATATAGCACTTTTAAAAACAATAATGAAAATTGTGTTGACTTAGATGGACACTTTGATTAATCTTTCTCCTATAAATTGTATTTGATGGCTGGGGGCACAGTGGCTCATGCCTGTAATGCCTGTAATCCCAGCACTTTGGGAGGCTGAGGTGAGCAGATCACCTGAGGTCAGGAGTTCGAGACCAGCCTGGCCAACATGTTAAAACCTCGTCTCTACTAAAAATACAAAAATTAGCCGGGCATGGTGATGTGCACCTGTAGTCCCGGCTACTCAGGAGTCTGAGGCAGGAGAATGGCTTGAACCTGGGAGGCAGAGGTTATAGTGAGCCAAGATCGCGCCACTTTACTCCAGCCTGGGTGACAGTGAGACTCCGTCTGAAAAGAAAAGAAAGAAAAGAAAAGAAAGAAAAGAAAAAAAAAGAAAAAAA